AGGAAGGAACAGAGGTGGGACCCCAAACATCAGAATGTATTAATTGAAAGGGCGCTGTGGCCTTATGTTCAGACAATTCAAAAGGTAAACGACAGGACTTAGAGACATAACATGATTCACAATGTAAAGGCTCTGAAAACTGAAAACCTAAGGAAGACAAAATAGATTTGGCAATCGCAGGAGCGGGATGACCGAGTCTACGATGCCAAGTGGACTCTTGGATAGCTTGATACGCAACGGTTGGGAGTTTGGAAGGAAGTGTGTATAACCCATGCTCACAGAGGCCCTTGTACCGCACTTGGTTGGTAGGATTGTCCACTATCTAGAAATCATTGGCATTGAAAACAAGGGTGCAGTTGTTATCTTTGGTAAATCGATGGACAGATAATAGATTGGAGTTAAGGGAAGGGACATAATGAAGAGTAGAAAGGTGGTATTTACCATTAGGAGTATGGACAAAACCTGAGCCAGAGTGTGTGATGGGTAGGGATTGACCATTGCCTACGGTAATAGCATCAGTATCGGTGTATTGATGAGGAGATTGTAGCTGAGAATAATCAGACGTGACATGGGTGTTGGCACCAGTGTCCAAATACCAGTTTGCAGAATGATTACTCGTAAATGCATGCATTGCACAGGGAGCACTGGAGGAGGAGTTCGCAGTATAAGAATCATCAAATCGATACCAGCACGCAGACGCAGAGTGACCTCGTTTCTCGCAGATTTGGTAGGTTGGCAGATCCCGTGACGGTCGACCGTTTCCCTGGGACGGTCGACTGTTGTTCCTTTCTCCACGTCCGCTGTTGTATCCACGTCCAGGTGACGGTCGACCGCGGTAGCCTCCTCTACCGTGACCTCGACCGTTTGTAGCGAGAAGTGTTGTGCGAGGTTCGGTGATGGTAGACTCGGTGAGGCTGAGTTTATTCTTCATCTCCAGGTTTATTTCTTCGGAGATCAGCCATCCAGAAAGCTGATTTAACGAAATATTGGTATTGTTCATGCGAATGTTTTGCTTAAAGGATGAGTATTCGGTGGGAAGACCACGAATAACAGCATTCACCACATCACGTTCAGGGATCTCTTCTTTCAAGGCATCGAGATCCGAGAGAATAGTTGC